ATTATGGACATTTGCCAATTCAGGTGCTAAGGCAAGTCTATAAGCGACACCTCCGATTCTTTCCAGGATTTCAAATGGTCCGATGTAACGTGGGCTCAACTTTCCTTTCTTGCCGAATCTCATAATGCCCTTTATTAGTGAGATTTTTAGGAAAACTCGATCACCTTCCTCAAATTCAAGATCTCTCCTTCGGTTATCGGCATAACTCTTTTGCCGACACTAAGCTGTCCTGAGCCTTTCACGAATTAATGCTATTTTATTTGTGGTTATCTGAACAATTTCTGGCCCCAAAAGCTTTCTTTCACCAACCTCGTCCCAACATATGGGTGACCTGCATTTCCTTCCATACAGGACTTCATATGGTGCCATCTAAATACTGGCTTGGAAGCTATTATATAAGCAAACTCAATCAGGGGTAAATGGTCATCCCAGCTTCCTGTAAGGTCAATAACACAGGCCCTCAACATATCTTACAAGGTTTGGATGGTCCTCTCCGATTGTCCATCAGTTTGGGGGTGAAAGGCAGTACTAAAGGTGAGTCTTGTCCCCATGGCTGACTGTAGTTTAGCCCAAAATTTAGAAGTAAACCGAGTATCCCTGTCTGATACAATACTGACAGGAACTCCATGCAGCCGCACTATTTCCTTAATGTACAGCTGAACCAATCGATCCAAAGTGTACGTCGTGCGAATCGGTAGAAAGTGGGCAGCTTTGGTTAACCGGTCCACAATGACCCAAATGCTATCATGTCCTGAATTTGTTCTAGGCAAGCCAGAGACAAAATCCATAGAGATGGGCTCCCATTTCCATTCTGGCACCGGTAGAGGCTGCAACAACCCAGCGGGCCTTTGATGTTCAGCTTTTACTTGCTGGCATGTTAGGCATTTAGACACAAATAGTGCTACCTCTTTTTTCATATTATTCCACCAAAAGGTTTTCTTCAGGTCCTGATACATTTTAATACTTCCGGGATGTATCGTATAACGAGAATGATGTGCTTCTTCTAAGATAGCTTTCTTTACACTCTCATCATTCGAGACACAAACCCGACTTTCGAATCTTAGCAAATCCTCACTACATATAGAGAATTCATCTCTCTTTCCTTGCTTTACCTCTTCTATAATTGTTATAAACTGAGGGTCTTTCTTTTGTGCCAATCGAATCTGTTGGATTAATTGGGGTTCCGCCTTAATATTGGTAATCATATTTACCACACCATTAATGGACGGAGTTGGATGCCAATCCACTATTTCCTCTAACAATCGCATTTCTTGGATCATTAGATGAGCTAAGACTCCCGTAGATTTTCTACTTAGAGCGTCGGCCACAACGTTAGCTTTTCCTGAATGATAATGGATTGTACAATCATAAACTTTTAAGAAATCCATCCATCTTATCTGTCGCATCTTTCAAGAGAAGACGAAATCAGAGAAAAATACCCCTATCTTTTTCAGTAATCAGGTACACAAATTTAGAGGACTAAATTTCTTTAAGGGGGAAAAAATGTAACAATCCTAAAATTTCAAAAAATCGGTAGGGATTAAGTGGACTCATCCGGTACGCCAGTGAGGTATAAGTGGACCTGCAGGGATTAAGTGGACCTATCTGGGACGCCGATAGGGATTAAGTGGACCCATCAGGACGCTGATGGGGTATATAGGTGACCTACTTGGGACGCCAGTAGGGTATTTTGTGAAATCCTTTGAATTATGTACTGCCGTTAAAAGTATTATAAGCATTTCAATTACTCGGATTATACTTAATTATGCATTTATTGAAAGTGAAACTGTTGATGCATTTCTGTTAATAGATCTCATTTTAGAAAATATTGATATCTTTCAATCATGATTATTTTTAGGATTATGATGATCACTTACTGAGTAGCCAAACTCATCAAACTATGGTAAACATTTTTTCAGGATAACTACGGATTCATTTTGAGTGCTAGTCAAGATCAACCTTGGAAGATACTGTTGTTGTGCTAGCTTTCTTTATTTACTATGTAAGACCTCACCACTGTAAATTTGTCCTATCAATAGATGTATATATGTTTTGTCTGTCACATCTCAGGAATAACAGTACTGTAAATTCTTGGGGTGTGACAGCACATCTCCAATTCGCCCACCCAACTCTAATTATTTAAAATCAAATAATTTCAATTAAGTTTTCATCAAATCACATAGCTAGAAAATCCTGCAACCTTTGTGCCCATTTTCTAGTTAATTTATAAAGAGGAAAGTTGAAGAACGTAAAATGTGCATAAATTATCATGATAATGAAAGAAGTATGATAACGAAAGAAGAAGAGCATTGCAAGAATGAGGAACAATTACAAGGCAGATATTTCTCATACTCATCAAGGGATTACAATTGAAAGATATGGAAGGCAATCGTTCTTAAACCTTATTCTCATGCTGGTCAAAAGTAGCAACACATTCATTCGATTTGATTGTCCACAATTTCAGCAGGCCATCCGCATCTGGAAATGAGAAAATATCAAAAAAAATTATAAAAAGAAAAACTAATGAATGGTGAGGAATAATAGGAAGATACAATTTTACCCGAAGATACAAATTGGGCACCACGGGAGAGGAAGGAAGCTCTCAAGACGCCAGAAGGGTGACCTTCAAATGTTTTAAGACAGGAACCATTTGACACTGACCATATTTTTATTGTTTTATCACCAGATGCAGTCATTACACATTTATCTACTGGAGAAAATTCAACAGACCAAATCCCCCTTTTGTGCCCTTTAAGCTCAACTACCAGAACTAGATCAGGAAGCCTCCATAAGCAAGCAGTACGATCCTGACAACAACAGACATACAATTGAGATGATAATTGCAAAGGAACCTATATCCCCCCTCCCCTGGAAAAAGAAAAGATAAATTGAGCTGATAATTGCAACATGAACTCTCATCAAAAAGGAAAAATCCCATAAAAGTTAAATTTCTTTTTTCTTATTGATAACTAACTAAATTGAATCAACGTTATAAAAATGTAAAATTTAATTAAAGCCAACTTTCTTAAGTTTCATACAAAACTAATTTCTTTCAAAAAACAGAAAGGGTAGAATCATATGGCTCTACCAACCTGAGAACCACTGCACACAAGGCTATCATCTGGGGCAACAGCCAAGGCATTTATATCTTTCTTGTGAGCTGCAACAACTGCCTTAGTTTGTAACTTAACAACCTCATTACAGCGATCTGAAAGTCCATCCAGACTCCATAACTTTATTGCATGATCACTGAACAATAAACAGAATTTAGCTTTAGGCTGCCGTGAAGCGCTGGTGGGGGGATTGAACAATTGACATTATTTTATTTTCCATTTCCTTGGTAGATGAAATACTACAGATACAAAAGAGAGAACTTTTTATACCCATATACAAGTCAATGAATCATTTTTCCTCCTCCATCATAAATGGCTCTTTTAATAGAAAATGTTAAACTAAGAGTTAACATACTCAAAAAAATAGAAAACATTAAACTAATTATAATTTCCCAATGACGTTATTCCATGAAATACTATAGGATGATCTAACTTAAAGAAGGAGAGTTGATGCTCTGATGATACTTGAGTTTCGGTAGAAAAGTCAAATTTCGTATTTGTCAAATAAATCTATATAGTACATCACACAAACAAAAGGCATTTAAAATCCTATGTATATCAATATGAAATCATTTCGTAAGATTAAAATGACAGTATGGCAGAATAATTATTATTCTAAGAAGTCCACTTTGCAGATGAGTCAGTCATTCAACATAGAATAGAAAGAACGGCTAAGGACCTAGCTTTTGTAGTGTATGTATTGCTCTAATTGGAAGTAACAGACGAGAATAATTCAACCATATCTATATCACAAGGAACTCATCATAATACCATGTACACAATGAGTTAATACTCGAGTGGGTTAAATACCCTTTTGGCTGCCTCTCTCAATTGTAGTGGAAACAGAGAATTTAAAGCCAAGTGTTTACAATGGTCAAAACCATGAGGCATCGTGACAACACGTAAAAATTGAGTAGTTGTTTACAGTGGTGAGATTATGATTTAAGGTGAGAGCATAAAATCTGACTAAGTGTTTACAACAACGAAAGTAGAAGAACAGTTAAAGCACATGAAATTTCTCTAGTGTTGAAGGCGGCGAGAAGCCGACAATTCTTGTATACCAGAAATTAAGCCACTGCTGAGAATTGAGAGAATGAAATCCACCGTAAAATGGACCAGATACCCACCACGAAGGTCTGTCCATGAGATGTACACATATGACAGGTGCCATAACCTGTTTCTTCAGAAAGGACGTGTCAAAACCTCAAAGGGCAAGGGACATATGGAGGTTGCAACCCAGTCCCCACAAACAAGGGTGTGAAGGCCATATCTGGGGATACTGCGCATCCAGAATATCCAAAAAAGAGGGAAGTCATAACTTTTCATTATCCCCTCAAAAGGAAGGATATGAAAAAGGCTCAAAGGTGAGAGAAAAGTCCCAAAAGAGAGAGAGAGAGAGAGAGAGAGAGAGAGAGAGAGAGAGAGAGAGAGAGAGAGAGAGAGAGAGACGACGACGACGACGACGACGACGAGACGAACGAAGAACGAAGAACGAAGAACGAACGAACGAACGAACGAACGAAGAAGAAGTAAGTAGTAGTAGAGTAGAGTAGTACGTAGTACGAACGTAGAACGTAA